CACGCTGGCTGCCTTCTTAGATATTGAGGGGGCCTTTAACAACGTTAAACTTGAATCCATAAACCACTCACTTAGGGAAGTTGGCATTCCTGATACCCTGACACATTGGATAGATAAAATGCTTAACAGCAGGATTATAAATTCAAGTGTGGGGAATGCAAAAATCAGGAAAACGGTAACTAGAGGCACACCTCAAGGAGGGGTGCTCTCGCCGTTACTTTGGCTACTGGTTATTAACATCATTTTGAGGAAATTGGACGGGATAGGTACCAAAGTTGTAGCTTATGCGGACGACGTGGTGATATTAATCTCTGGAAAATTTCCATCTACGATCTCTGAGCTTATGCAAAGAGCCTTACTGACGCTGTCACGCTGGGCCAGGGCAAATGGTCTTGGTGTAAATCCAACGAAAACGGAACTGGTAATGTTCACTAGGAAGCGTAAGCTCGGTGTTTTTGTTCCACCAACATTGGATGGAGTGCAACTTCACCTCTCTCCCGAAGCAAAGTACCTCGGCACAATCCTGGACTGTCAACTACGATGGAAAAGGAACGTTGAGGAGCGGGCGAAGAGAGGAATGATTGCACTCTATGCTTGCAAGAACTCCATTGGGAAAAGCTGGGGACTAAAACCATCGACTATACACTGGATGTATAACACTGTGGTGAAGCCCATCTTATCCTATGGCTCTCTTGTTTGGTGGAACTGTCTGAGCCTCAAGTCGACATCAAGTAGATTAGACAAGGTACAAAGAGCCGCCGCGATTTTAGTTACAGGAGCCAGAAGGAGTACGCCACAAGCAGCTTTGAACGCAATGCTGGATTTCAAGCCTTTGGGCCTCAGCATTAAGTGTCAAGCTGCGCGTAGCGCCCTACGGCTACATGAACAAAAACTCTGGCGGACCTGTACCTTTGGGCATAGTAGTGTTCTGAATGAACCAGGCATAGCCCTGGATCAACGCATTAAATTAAGCGACTACATATCACCAATTCTTAGATTTGACGATGTAGAAGTCGTAATTCCTAGTAGAGACGACTGGAAACGAAGTAACCGTCCTCTGGACGGTCTGGCCTGCTATACAGACGGATCCAAGATAGAAGGCACTGGGGCAGGCGTCTACTGTGAAAGTTTAGGCCTTGAGTTAACCTACAAGCTGGATAGCAACTGCAGTGTTTTCCAAGCTGAAATCTTCGCGATCTGGAAGGCAGCGGAATTGATAAAAAGTCTGGATGCTGAGGTCGTTGAACCGGTGACTATCTTCGTGGATAGTCAAGCGGCTCTTAAAGCCATCAAATCTTGTCACATCAAATCCGAAGCCGTCTTCAAGTGTAGAACAGCTCTGGAAGAACTTAACCGTAGCTATCGGTTGTGTTGGGTACCAGGACATTGTGACATTTTGGGTAATGAAAGAGCGGATGAACTAGCTAGACGAGGATCTCAATCCACTGATCTAGAAACTGATGACTCAATCAAACCACCCATATGTCTTTTCTATAGGAACTTTGAGGCGTTCTTTGACGAAACAGCCTGCGAACTTTGGCACAACGAACCTAGGTGCAACGTGTCAAGATCCATTTGGCCGACTCTGTCTACCAAAAGAACGCGCCAACTATTGAACCTGAACAAAGCCGAAATTAGAGTGGTGACAGGAATCATCACTGGTCACTGCAATATCAGGGCCTTTACTAGTAAATGGGACCTCGATGCAATTGATTATTGTAGACTCTGTGTTGACGAAGAGGAGACGGAGACAATTGAGCATCTCCTGTGCCAGTGCCCAGCCCTTGCTTACAGGCGGCACAGACTAATGGGGGCTCACTTTCTACCTAGTCTCAGCCTCTTCTCAACAACCGAACCTGCTCTAATCTACAGCATAATTAGAAGCATAAAGTGGTTAGGAGCACACAACCTTGGCACGTAACACTTTTCTGTCAGACTCATAGGACCATCGACCCTCACTCTTCACTCCTTTAATTTCACAAATCTTCTCTCCCCTACAGATCTATCCCTTGTCTCTTCACTTCGCTGCTTCTCTTCTTGTGGATGATCACAACGGACCTAACCGGTCTCAGAGTGTTGCAGTCATACACGTGACTGCACATCCCCAAACCTAACCTAACCTAGCCAAGATGAGGTCAGAATAGCAAGCAATCGGCTGAAGAATAATAAAGCAGCAGGTGCCGATGGTTTAAAAGCCGAACTATTCAAAACTAGTGGTCAGTCCAATAATGGAACCTCAGCATCCAGTGTCCCGTGCACAAAAAAGGAGACAAGACGATATGTGCCAACTATAGAGGAATAGGTCTCCTTCCCATCGCGTATAAAGTGCTATCCAGCGTTCTGTATGAACGACTGAAGCCAATGGTCAACGACATTATTGGACCATACCAATGCGGCTTCAGACCTGGCAAGTCCACCATTGAACAGATTTTCACTCTGCGCCAAATGCTGGAAAACCCCACGAAAAACACATCGACACATTCCACCTATTCGTCGACTATAAAGCCGCATTCGATAGCCATATCCGTTCAGAGGTGTTTAAAGCCATGTCTACGTTTGGAATTCCAGCAAAATTAATTCGCTATGCTATGCAGGATAACTTTAACAGGCACAAGATCAGCAGTTAAATCGGAAAGGACATCTCGGAGCCCTTCAATACCGAACGAGTATTCAGACAAGGTAACAGTTTTTCGTGTGAACTTTTTAACATCCTACTGCAAATGGTGATACGAGAGGCAAAGGTGAACAGAAATGGCACGCCTACGCCGATGACATCGACATAATGGGTCGAACATTGAGAGCGGTAACAGCCACATTTGAACAAATTGAGAAGGAGTCTGCCAAAGTGGGTCTGGCAGGGTACTTACGCAAACAGATGAGGCAGCTCTTGGAGTGTTTGAGAGAAAAATTCTCCGAATGATCTATGGGCCGATCTGCGTTGACGGTGAATATCTCCGTCGAATGACGGAGGGGGTGGCACGAATAAGATGGAAATATATAAGTGGTAAGTAAGTAAAACGAAAAAGTTAAAATATTTTTATCGGATAGAAGTACAGTCGAAATGGTTCATATAAAAATCCTGAGAAAAGTTCTATTCAATAGTTGATATTGTTTATAACGACATATCGCCTATAGCGACCAATTGCGTTTGTCCCTTGGCCGTGGCATATCGTTCGACACAAAATATATCCTGTAGTTTATTAACTAAGCAATGATTGTTTATCTTAACAATGATTAAGATAAACAATGATGTCTACTACAAAAACACAAATATATGGGTTTCAATAATGTAAAGTATTTATATGGGATTTCTACCAGAATTTGGGGGAAAAACAAAATTCCAGGGAATAGTTAACCCTTTCAGTGTTTTTGTCGAATATATTCGACATTTAAAAGTACTCTCTTTCTTTGCGATTTTTCGGTTATCCTATGTACCGTTACTATTGATGTTTTTGTTTTTGCTTAAAGATAGACGAAACTGTCCGAGGATTAAAATGACAAATGCAATTTTTTCTAAACTATGTCCCTTTATATGATTTTAAATGCAAAATTTTTGATTTTTTATTCCGACAAAATTTTTTTGACACTGAAAGGGTTAAATAGCAGCGTACAAGGGATAGCCAATGCACCTGAACAATACTTTAGAATTATGCTAGGAATGCTATCGAGACCTGAACATATAATTAATTTAAAATTACGTATATTCTTAGAAACATACTGACTTTATAAAAAATACATATTATACCTGTATGTGTCAAGGGAGTTTTTTCACAAATAAATGGTTATTGAATTTTAAAATGCTGGTAGATTTTATTTGAGGTAACTTTTCTTATATAATGCTTTCTGGACTCAGTCGTATATTTAGAAGACTAATTTTTCAAATTTGTTTAAAAAGTACTAGATCTATGAATCTCACAAATAAATAATGAGGTCAAATTTATAGTTGAAATAAGTGCATATAGCCTTCAAATTTCCGTTTCCTTATAATTATCTAAGAAATTTAATGAATTTTAATTTCTAGTAGCTAAATTATTATGGATCATGGATATGCATATACAGGAGATATTCTAATTATTTCAAAATATTGTGTACAATTCACAAATGCCAGATCTAGAATTCGATTATAACAATTTGATGTACTGGTTATTTAAAAAAGATTGATGCCACAAAAACCATTTAAAATGTCAAAAATATATTGGTTTAGATTTGCATCAGTTGTTAAGGTTGTTATAGCCTCAGAATTTGGCCATTTAACATTTAAATCTCCGAGAACTAATATTATGTCAGTCATTCATTTTTTTAGTGATTGAATTTATTGCTAAGATATGCTGATTATAAATGAGGGAGGAGTATATGAGCAAGTCACAAATAATGCAAAATTTCGAAATTCAATGAATATGCAAATAAATTCTTAAAGTTCAGAAAATACCCCCACCTTTTTTGAAATATCTTTAAGAATCCAATGGACAGCTGGAAAAGTGGCCTACACGTGTAGAATTTTCTTTTAATTTCAAATTTAAACTCATCCTATAGACAGATGGTAACTACGGCTACGCGTCCGAATCTGCTTTTAATTAGAATAGTGTTTGGGGGTAGCCGGCCTTCTGCCGGGGATTTAAGACTTTCTCCTGTGGACAGGTGGCAACTCCGCCTACGCGACTGAATCTTCTTTTAATTTGAATAGTTTTTGTGTAATCAGAACTTCAAGCGCTTCGAATTGATACCCATATTGCCTTAGTAAATTGTAAATATCACGAGAAAATAGGGTCCCAAAAAAACTTTGGAGGCCCATATCTCCGGAAATACCGATTTCCGCAAAAAATAGTATACCGTTGTAATCAGGACTCCAAGAACTACATGTGCTAAACATTTCAAAACGATACGTCAGGGGCTCTAAACTACATTTAAGCCCATTTGTTGGCCTAATGAAATTGAAATGTTGAAATTAAAATAAATATAATAAATAAAAATAAGTCATATGACGTGTACTGTATACTAACCTTGCAACAAAATATGTGGATGGGCCGTCATACATGGATTCATCGTTAATGCGCTCTTTACAAAACTAAGTTGGCACACGTTACTATATGACTCTTCCATTGTCTGCTCTTCATTTTTTCTACCTTTGCAAGTCAAGAAAAGTTGATAGCCTTCAGTGGACCATTCCAATTTGCTGACACGCAACGGATTGTCATGTATTAGATCCACATGTATGCCAAAATCCCAAGAAAACGAGGACATTAATAATGCCCCAAAAGTACTCCACAATGCAATGCCCCCGTTTTCCCATGACACGGCCAAAACACATCCATCAGGGCTCCATTTTAGCTCATTCACCGCACCCAGTGTACCAGGCATAACAGTCGCGTTTAACGAAAGGCGATGTGAAAACTCTAAACCACCCGTTGCATCTTCAATGCCGTATACCGAGACGTCCGCATTTGCCCTACCATATGCAAGCAAACGGAATTTATGGTTTACGCTACAAAAAGTAGCATCTTCAATTTCTGGTATCCAAAATCCATGCATATTTGCCGTTTCAAATTTGAGATGGTTTGCAATTAGGAACGCTGCTCTCCTATCACTAAATACCGCAGCACAGCCTCCTATGAACGGAGAGTACTCCAGGGCTGCGACAAAAGAGTCCGGACTAACAGGTGGAATAGATTTCAGACTGCATTGTTGATTGACGTAAAATTGTATTTGCCGTAAATTGATAGCATTCGCAACAGTTGTTTTATTTCCAAATTCATCAGACTCCAAATCACTCCACTGCAATCGCATAAGTTCACAATGTTCAGTAGCGACCAGAAGTTCTGTCAAACTAATACAACACACGGTTGTTACAATTGTGCTAAGTTGCACAATGCAAATTTCCTTTAGACTAAGTTTTGGAATATTTTCCTTGATAAATAGTTCAGCGGAGTCCCGCTTTAAGCTGTAATTCGGCGAATCCATCTGCAGAAATATCCCATTTCCGTTCCCATCGAAATCGACTTGATAGAGAATCAATACGCCACCAGCCGTGAGAACTATTAACTGACGCGAATCGGGCTTCCATACAATCAACTTGTTCTCCCCATAGCTAACGACGGACTCAACACTCCTACGACAGTAGACTATAGGAACCAAGGGATTCGCGTACCATATCCCTAAAAAGTCGGCTCCCGCTGCAGCCAAAAGTATTTTAACGGCATCAAAGCATATATGTTTTATGTTATTACTTTCTCCAGGTAAAGCCAAGTTAATAGCTTTTGGCCAGCCAATTGGAAAATACATAATTGTTTATCTGAAAAATTTGAAATCTTGTTATTCTTACACATTAGTACTACGTCTTATCGATTATACTTTGTTTTTTCATATACGAATTCCTTAACAGAACATTTTACACTTATATTAAATGTATTTAATTAAATTATGCTATATTATAGTTCAATTGAACGATTCACTAAAAAGTAGAGTTGGGTAGTTCCGGAACGAACTAGTTCATTGGAAATATTCCGAGAAAGGAACGATCGGAACTAGTTCCAGCTCTGTAATTAATATAGTTCATATTTCCGATCTCGTTCTTTTGTCTTTTTTCTCGTTCTTTTTTTCTGATCTCGTTCCAAATTTTAAATTGTGTAAATAGTTACATTTTATTTTATTTTTTTTGTTTTAAATCTTTTTATTTATTTATACAAAAAAAATTAATTTTTTTGCTTATCGTCCTGCAGTTGAATTCTTTAGCTTCATTTCTTTTTTTTCAATTTTTGCATTTATTAACAAATCAACACGGAACAATGAGCGAAAAAAACAAAAAGAACGATGAAAGAGAGAGATTCAAAGGAACTATGTAGGAGTCGGAACTATATGGAGCAAAGGAACTACATTAAGGAACTAGTTCCTTTTCAAAAAAGGTACGAGAATGATCGATCCGCTAAGTGAACTAGATTGCCCAACTCTACTAAAAAGAACGTATGAACGCAAACGCATATCGTTTCCTTGTGGTTGTTGTATTTTCGATAACATATAGCGCGACGGATGGCTCAACGCGAGCATTCTGCTTAGCCCTTAAAAGTCGAAGTCGACTTTTGATCTATGAGAAAATCGTGAATTCGACTTCCAATTTTCTTCATAAATACTTGGTTTTTATCTCAAAGCTCAAATTGCCCAAAAATAGCACTTTCGGGAATTTTACTTTATCTGTTCACAATAATTGATATAAAAAAATAAAATTTTTAGTCCATTTTGCAGAAGTCAGTAAAAGTCGAAAATCGATTTTGAACAGTTTTGACAAAATCGAAAGATCGAAAAGTCGACTTTTTAGTCAAAGGCAAAAATCGAAAAGTATAAAAATCGACGATATTGCGCTATTCACTGTAAAATGATTATCCGCCAGGATGTCTACTGTAAAATTATTACAGCTCAGCACCGGTTATGATACAATACGATACGATTGCCAAACAAAATCTTCAAAATTCAGTGCTTTTAAGTTTTTAGAGGACAGTCATCTATTTTTTCTCGGTTTATTCGTTACTTCTATCTTGTTGCTGTAGATAGAATAATCAATCATCTATTTTTACTGGTTGTCATCTACAAAATATATGTCCTCTATCTGTCATCTATAAGTCGACTTTCATAAATACTTGGTTAATTATAGCAAAGCTAAAGTTGTCCAAAAATTAAATATTTGAAAACTTTATTTGACAACAACTCATATAAAAAAAATTAATTTATACAATTTTTTAGTCGGTAAAAGTAGAAATTCGATTCGAAATCCAAATTAAAAAGTCTAAAAATCGACTTTCTGGTTTTTCAAAACATTTAGCAAAGGCTAAAAGTTGACTTTTGCGCTCGTCTACGCATACCTATTACCAATATTGTAAAATTTATCTTTAAAGAAATTGTTTTAGAATTTATTTTGTTATATTTTTTTCAAAACATTACAGCAGAATGCATTTTGATATGGCCATACCTTGTAATTGCGTTATATTTTATCAAAATACAACAACCAATTTCAAGGTGGCTTGTTCCAAACAATATGTGTATTGTTTTATCGTTTCCAAATTCAAAATAAATTGAAATATATTCAAATTTAATTGAAATGAAAGTTATGTTTTTAACGCGTCCCTCTGGAAGTAATTACTTTGTTATGGATGAAACAAATATTTCCGTTGCGTTAAGTGTTATCGAAAATACAACATTTCCATTTGTCAATGTGTTGAAAAAATGAACACAAACTTGTTGCATGTATTTATTTTATATTTGCGCTGCGCTTCACCTAGTTGCTTATATTAATCTAACTTTTTGTGAGCGTTAACGCGATAACAAAAAACGCTCAACGCGAACATTCTGTTTAGCCCTTCAACGCGTTGTATTTTTGATAACATATAACGCGACGGACGGCTCATTATAATCATATTTATAAGCCCTTATTGTGAAAAACATGAAATCCCATTTATTGTTCGTGATATTTTCCTTATTTAATAAAATTGTAAAAATATGTCAAATGAACAAAACAACCTGTTAAATTTGTTTCCACGACAGAAGGGTCAACGATCCGAAATGACCAGAGTCTTAAAGGGTTAAAAACAGAATGTTCGCGTTGAGCGTTTTTTGTTATCGCGTTAACGCACGCAAAAAGTTAAAATATATTTAACTCCGAAGCGCAGTTCACATCAACTTCGAGCGTTTGTGTTATCGTTTCCTTGTTGTTTTTGTATTTTCGATAACATATAACGCGACACAATGCTGAATATGTTTATATGTAAATATGACACAATAAGACTAGTGTATTATGTACTAGTTTTTTAGTTAATTTCGCACGTTTAAATGGACCCCCATTCACGATTTTTTATTTTTTAATTATTATTTACAAAATTTTGTTGTTGTTGTTTTTTATATGCGTTTGTTTTATCGTTTCCTTATTGTATTTTCGATAACATACAACGCGAGCATTCTGCTTAGCCCTTTAATTATGAATTACTTAGTTCACCATACAAAATTTTCTGAGCAAACACCGATTTTTGTACATTGTTCAATTTGAATCACTCACCCTAATACCATGTTCTGACGAGCATTCGAACAACGTAGTTCGCTCTCAGAATTACCTACATGAATTAAATTGTTCATACAACACTATTCTTAATTCATGCCATCAGAATTTTCTTTTTCAAACTTGTTGTTACTTCTTTTACACCGAAATCTCTACCTATTGGTCTGTTCCCATACTGCAAGAATCTACTATTTTTTACTACGATAACGAATTTTCCCTTATGATATCGACGAAAATAGTAAGATCGAGTAGATTCTTGCTGTACGGGAACATACCTTATTTGTGTATATTACATATGAATTTAAATAGAAAACATTATTCTCTTTCTGCTGAATATAGTAAGAACCCATAGCTACTTACTTTCCTTTCATGTTTTCCTTTTTTTATAAAAATGTTGTTGTTTTTAATACATTTTTATATTTTCTCAACTCATATGTCACATATCAAAAAACATGAGTATTTTTTTGTTTATCCGACATTTGTTTCTTATTTTGTACTCTAATTAGAACCCAATGAAAAAAAAGATATATCGAAATACGTAGGAAACTAAATTTACTTCTCCCTACATGTATAAAAACTAATCACTTTTATACCTTTCATTCATCATTTCCATTTTTTCTGAAAAAATTTGTAAATTTTAGAAATTTTTTCATGCTGTCAAAATTCATTTATTTTCGATAAATGCTCTGAATTGTTAGGGATGGGACGAATTTCTTTGTTGTCTGGAGAGTGATTCGAATTGAACTACGTACAAAAATCGGTGTTCGCTCAGAAAAATTTGTATGGGGAACTAAGTAATTACTTCATAATAAGGGTCGAACAACGAATGAGAGAGCGAACAACGCTCGTCTGTACATGGCATAACACTTGAGAGAATTTATTGAAAATGACAGCATGAAAATATTTATAAAGTTTTCGAACTTTTTCAGTAAAATTGAAAATGATGAATGAAAAGTAAAAAAATTCTAGTTTTTATATATGCAGAAGGATGTTAATTTTGTAATCTAAATAATGCAATATACATTTCTTTCCCTTTGATTCTAATTAGCGTACAAAACGAGAAACAAATGTGGGGAAACCCAAACAAAAATTCTCCAATTTTTTATTTACATATACAATGAGTGTAATAAGTATTTTGCCTCAATACAAATTTGACAAACTACGAAAGACCTATTCTCAAAAAAAGTATTTTGATTTTTATACCCTTCACCACACTGTGGTACGGGGTATTACAGTATTTTTCGGTTAATTGAACCTACGGTTAATTGGTTTCCACGCTTAATTGAACCACATGATGGGGCAACAAATATTTCATAGGAAAATACATGTAAATTTTCTCGGATAATTAAACCCTGTTAATTGATCTTCCCGCTTAATTGGTTCAAAATTCATGTCATCAAAAATAAATTTCCCTTTACTTTTCACCGTTAATTGCACAATAATAATTAAAAAATAATCTGCCATTTTTTACATACATATTTGACATAATTTGTGAAAAAGTCTAGGTGGCATCTTTACTAATCCAAAACATGTGTTTATTGCTAAGGGAAAACTTCGAGAAAGCGTAATTTGTATTTGACATTGGATTTTTTTAAATCATTAGTAGTTCCAATTATACGTGATTACTGTAATTGAACCAACTATTCAATTAAGCGGGTTCGGATAATTGGTTCCTCTGTTAATTGAACGAAAATTTGTGCAAATTTTGATGTGCAATTAACCGAAAAATACTGTTACGAATATAAATTTAGATGAAGTCCGTTAATTTAAGAATTTGAATTGTAACGTAAATTTGTACTACGCAGTTTATTTGAATAACTTCACAACAACAACTACTGTATAGATTTTTCTACATCCTTCCATTTCCTCTTTCATTTTCTATTTTGTTATTGTCGTACAATTCTTGTTAAACGTCATCATTGATGATCGCTTAATTCCTCTTTCTTTGTTACCCCCTCGCCTGTATATGTGTTGTTGTTATTGTTTACTCAATGTAAGTTTGTATGTGTTGTTGTTATTGTTTACTCAATGTAAGTTTGTATGTGTTGTTGTTATTGTTTACGCAATGTAAGTTTGTATGTGTGTTTGTTGCATTGGTAGATTGTTCGTGATCTAGGTGTTACCAGAAACTTCTGTAGCTACAAGCAAGGCTCATATAAATAGGGGAAATGGAAAGGCAGTGAGTTAGTTGTGAATCAGATCGCGAATTGAAACCGTCGAGTAAAGTAAAGTGCAAAGTAAAGTTGTGTGAATAAA